TCCAGGTTGGTCTGAAATTGCCATAGCCGTTTTAGGTTGCTCTTAGCGGCCGATGAAATGACCGTAAACGTTACCCCCCTGTGCCTATGTGAACACGAAAGCGTATAACATGGTAATCGATTACGCATCTAACGATCTAAACTACTGAGGAGTTGAAAGGAGGAGGTCGTTAACTGGACTTCTCCAATTCCTACTTGATTATGAATAAAACATTAAAGTTCACTATATTTCAAGACAGGATTGGTAATGATCATTAGTAAAATATCTTTAATGTTTTATATTCAAGTTGAATTATGTTATCTTTTATTTTTTTTTTTTTAAGTTGTACATTCGGTTTGGTTTACAAGTATATTTTTAATTTTTTCAATATATGTTTATTGTTATACTGAAAGGTAGTTTCAAGTTAAGTTTTAATTATTATAGTTATATATATATTAATTATATTATATATTATCTATAAATAATATATAATTAGTGTATTTATTTTATTTTATTAATATTATTAGTAATATTAATTTATTACTAATATGTTATTATAATATAACTAAAGTTACTAATAATAAATACAATATAGCATAATTAATATTTATGTTAATATAATAAGTAATATTATTAATAATATATATTATAGTAATATATAATAAAATTATATAATATATTATATATTAATATAATATATAGTTATATATTACAATTTTAGTTATAATATAGTATTAGAAATATTTTTAAATATTTTACGATCCAATCAAATTTGATCTTCTGCATAAAATTTATATAAATTTTTATTATTATTATTACATTTATATATAATTTATACATTTTATTTTTATTATTGCATTTATATAAATACTCGTTTAATATTTTTCATTCATAGATTTTTATTATTTTTATTATTATTATTATTATTATTTAGAAAATATTTAATGTTTTTGCCCGAAAAAACGAAGTAAAGTAATTTACGTAATGTATATTATATAAAATGAAATCTTACAATATTTAAAAGTAATCGAAGTAATCACTCTTTTTATTTCATACAAATTCTCCTTGTGTTATACAATTAAAATAGAAATCTTTCAAGTTAATGGTATTTAGTTAAATGATCGCTCGAAAATGTTACGTTTTATGGTCGCTCGATCATTTAACAAGAGAGTAAAGGTAATATTTTGTGATTTAACTGCTAAAACACATCAACGTGTATTTAATTAAGATTTTCTTTTGTACTTTCGACATCGTTAAACTTTTCTCTCCCTTTTTCTCTCTTTTTCTTTTTATATATATATTTTCTATTTTATTATTATATTAATAATATTATATATACATACATATTTAGTATTATTATATTTCCTGCGGCTAAAACATGACATGGAAGACTTTATGTATATATATGTTTATCAGTAACTTAATACATATGTACATATTTACTTATATATATATACATCGAAGTCGTCAATCAAGATTCACTGACGTTATCTAACTCGAAGACTGATACTAATAGTATCATCGTTAAAGTTCCTACTAATTTTCTGATGCAATTACTCTTGAATCAAGCTTGACGGATTTACCCGCGGGTTTGAATTTATCTCTACTATAAACGAAGTAAACTTACAATTAGTCTCTCTGTGAAATTTCCAACTGTTCGACTTTAGTTATTTTACTAAATACCAATTCATTTTGGTTTTTAGTAATAAAAAAAAAAAAATTCAAGTTATCGTTAAAAAATGATTACTATTATTTAAATTAATACTATTACCTTGGATTTCATAATAACAAATAAATACAAAAATATATAATATATATTATATATAAAATATATTATTATATTAATAAATAATAATAATAATAATATAATATTATTTATTATTAATTTAAATTTTTTATTTAAATATAAATAAAAAAATTATAATTATAAAACTATAATTTAAATTTATTATTATTAGTTTAATATAATATTATTATATTAAAAAATATATTTATTATATTATATATTAAAATATATTAAAATAATAATATATTTTATATATTATCATTATTATTATTATATTTATTTTATTATTTATATTTATTTATATTATTATTATTATTATATTATTATTTTATATTATTATTTTATATTATACTATACAAAAAGAACAAAAAGGAATTTATTTAATTTTATTGAAACTGTAGAAAGTGAAATACTAATAGCTGTGTATAAATATTCTATTTTTTATTTTATTTTTTTGGGGAGGTGATTACTGCCACGTTTGATCGTCCCCTCGGCAACCAACACTTTTCGAGAATGTTTTTATTTTAAAAATGAAACGACGAGATTTTAATAGAATATTTGCGCCCCTGGCGAAAATCCGCTTTAATCTTTTACGTTTCATCTCTTTAATACATATATATAAAATGAACACCGTACTCCGAGTACAAATAGCCAATGTAATGATTTTTGAAACTCAATAAAAGAACATTTTTACTCGTTCTCGACTGGTCGGTGAATGTTATAAGTCAAGTTTATTTATTTTTAATTTGTAATTTGCCTTTGTCGACAAAAAAAAAGAGAAAGAAAAAGAAACCACTTCTGAGATTCCCAATTTTGTTACCCCCGTCGAAAAAAATTCGTTTTATAACCTGAGAGCAATTTCTAGGTTATCTCAGTTAATACATTTTTTCCGTGAGGTATTAAAAAAACAAAAATAAGTTATTTTTCTAATCTTCTAACTTCAAATTTATCGTGTAATATCGTTTTATTTTTTTTATTATATTCTTTTTTTTTTTTTGTAAAAGAATTTTACGACGAACGATCGGTTTCTTTTTTTTTTCTTTTCCTTTTTATTTTCTTTCTTTCTCTTCATCCATATACGTATGTTCTCTTTGAGGTTATGCACATAGAATAAAAGAAAAATAAAAAAAAAAGAGGGAACATATGAAAAGAGGGTGGTTCTTTAAGATCAAATGTATTTATATCCTGAAGACGTTTTCTATATACGTTTTTACGATAAAGTTATTTCATCGTATTTTTGTAAAAAAAAAAAAAAAGAGAATTATTAATCCTTCGAACAAAAATTGTTTTTCCTTGGGGCTACCAACATGAAAGACTTTATACCGTTCTTTCGTAAAATCCACATGAAAGAGAAAAAAAGAAGATAAAAAACAAAATCAAATATCATTTTTGTCATATTTGTGCCAATGTTACGATGATAAGAGATATCAATGCCTCTCAAAATATTTTATTTTTTATTACAACTTTGTAAAACTTCTTAACAAAAAAATTAATAATCGAATGGAGAATCGATAAAGGAAGAAACTCGTTAAAATTGAAATTATTGGGTTGTCCGGAAAGTTTGTGCCAATTTTGAAGAAACATTAAAACTTAATGCATTTAAGTTTTTTTTTTGTATATATTTATTAAATTATATATAAGTATTCTATATATATAATATTGGATTGGCAACTAAGTCATTGCTGATTTTAAAAGGCCACCAATCGACAAAATGTGCAATCATTTATTTGCCAACCCAATAGAAGTATTATATTCTCTATATATTTTATATAATTTTATAATATATAATTTTTATTACAATAATATAATTAATTTTATTAAAATATAATATAATATAATATTTTATTATATTTTTTATTATGTTATATATATTTTTTATATATTTATTT